TTGAGACTTTAGTCTTTGCAGCTTTACAGATCTTCTTTATGCACCAAGAGCTTGTAACACTCCAGAGAGAAAGGAAAAACTGAAATCGCATCATATGACCCCTTTAAAAAAAGTCGAGGTAATTCAAATTCAAAATGACTGAAGATATAACACCAGTAGACTATCATTAACTATAAATGTTCTGTAAAAATGAATGAACAGCGGCTTTCAGCCTGTCACCATGATGCAAACATGAAATGTCATCCATACAGTAGTAGTTCTTTTCAGATTTCCATATGATTGCACTGCTTTTCAATTGTTTTCTATGTAAATATGGGTGCGTTTGACTGTTGCACTCGCGTCTCTTGCAGCGTCTCATGCATGAAACGGCATTCTAAAAACGCGATGCTCAAGTTAAAAGAAGTTCAACTCCCATCTTCTTGCATTTTTTTTTCTATTCCACTACTTGCATTGCATCTTTATCAAAGAGTTGACAAAGAGAACCAAATGACACGAAAATATATACTATATATGTCATTTATTTATTCAGGAAAATTATGTAATATAACATATCTGTGAGTGGCAAAAAAATTTGAATCTAGGATTAGCTGTTAATTTGAAGGTGAAATTAGAGTCCATCTGTTCATCTGGAAAAGGTTACAAAACCATCTCTAAAGAGTTTGGACTCCACCAATCCACAGTCAGACAGATTGTGTACAAATGGAGGAAATTCAAGACCACTGTTACCCTCCCCAGAAGTGGCCGACCAACAAAGATCACTCTAAAAGCAAGACAGGTAATAGTCTGCGAAGTTGCAAAGGACTCCAGGATAACTTAAGCAACTAAAGGCCTTTCTCACATTGGCTAATGTTACTGTTCATGAGTCCATCATCAAGAGAACACTGAACAACCATGGTGTGTACGGCAGAGTTGCAAGGAGAAAGTCACTGCTCTCCATAAAGAACACTGCTAGCTGTCTACAGTTTGCTAAAATCATGTGGACAAGCCAGATGACTATTGAAGAAAGGTTTAATGGATGGATGAGACCAAAATGGAAATTTTTGGTTTAAATGAGAAGTGTTATGTTTGGAGAAAGAAAAACACTGCATTCCAGCATAAGAACCTTATCCCATCTGTGAAACATGGTGGTGGTAGTATCCTGGTTTGGGCCTGTTTTGCTGCATCTGGGTCAGGATGGCTTGCCATCATTGATGGAACAATGAATTCTGAATTATACCAGCAAATTCTAAAGGAAAACGTCAGCACATCTGTCCGAGAACTGAATCTCAAGAGAAAATGGGTCATGCAGCAAGACAACGACCCCAAGCCCACAAGTCATTCTACCAAAGAACGGTTAAAGAAGAACAAAGTTAATGTTTTGGAATGACTGAGTCAAAGTCCAGACTTTAATCCAATTTAAATGTTGTGGAAGGACATGAAGCAAGTAGTTCATAGGAGGAGGAAACCTATCAACATCACAGAGTTGAAGTGGTTCTGTACTGAGGAATGGGCTCAAAATCCTACAAACCGTTGTGCAGGACTGATCAGCAGTTACAGGAAACGTTTAGCTGCAGTTATTGCTGTAAAAAGGGGTCACATACTGAAAGCAATGATTCACATACTTTTGTCACTCACATATATGTAACACTGGACCATTTTTCTCAATTAATAAATGGCAATGTATATATTTTTGTCTCCTTTGTTTGATTGGATTCTCTTTGTCTACTTTCAGGACTTGTGGGAAAATCTGATAATCTTTTGGGTTATATTTATGCAGAAATATATTTAATGGGTTCTAAAGGGTTCACGCAGCACTGTATATCGCAGGCAATATCAAATTAAGCATTGATCATTTTAATTTCCTTTTATTTGTCAATTAACACCATGTCAGTCTCAATACTTTCATGGCCTCTCCCTTTCAAAAGACTTGAAACTATACACACACAACAGAAACATTTTAATAGCATCTCTGATTTTAAATTTAATAGCAATAAAACATTAACAGTCTAATGTTTGATTAATTTCTACTAAAACTGTCCGTTAATGGATTCAATTGATTCAAAACTCATTGATTCAATGATTAATTTGCCTCACTACTCAAAAAACATTCACTGAAGTGCCATTTTTCAAACATTTAAATGATTTAGTGAAACATATGTAGGCAAATATCGCCATTTATTACTATGTATTGTTATAATGGTGTATATCATTAAAGATCATTAAATATCATTCTTCATTGTGTTCATTTAGCCAAAAGCAACAATGCGAGGAAAACATGCCGCTTGGTGCAGAGATGTTACTGCTTTTCTAAATTATTGTACAATTTTCACCTGGCTAATGATAAAACGTGAAAAAACACTCACAACACCCTATCCTCAAGATGGCAAGTTCTGCTTAAGATCCACTCACATTTACTTCAGAAAACAGCTGCCATTCTGTGAACTGAATACATCTTGTTTTCTAAGATTTTGTTTTTTTTAATTGCGAATGTCCATATCTGACTGTCACATATGTTTATTTCAATAATGAAAAACTGACGCTGAAGATGCTATCTTGCATCCAAAACAAGCAAAAAGACTGCAAACGGCTGAAGTTGCAAACACTAACTTTGTGCCCTATACGTTTAATTACAGAAAGTCTCTGATAAAGGACTCTTTTAATAGTGCAAAAAAGAATAGAGGTAATCGCGTCACTGAGATTCCTTAAAGATGATACACAAATTACCAGTTGCTTGAAAGTCTGTGGACCTTTCAGAATTTTCTATATTTCTGCATAAATATGACCCAAAAGATCATCAGATTAGTCCTGAAAGTTGCAAGGAGAAAGTCACTGCTCTCCAAAAAGAACATTGCTGCCCAGCCGCAGTTTGCTAAAGA